TAAGACTTGATCAGACCAAAACGACCGTTTCAGACTGAAATCATGCTACTAGTGGTATAAGTGGCTAAAATATTTCATTATGATTGACAAAACAAAAAACGGGATTGATCTCAAGCATCCCGAAAGGGCAAGCAGATTCTGTTCAACATGTGGAGCCTGCCATGTTGCTCAAGTAAGTACAAATCCTGTGATAAGTCTAATTCGGTAGGTCACATACGAGGAAAAGAGAACGGGATTGTGGTTACAACAATTGGAACACATCAGTCGTCATCTGTGAAACATATATTTCCTAACGGTTAACCAAATTGTGATGGCGTCCGTAAAATTTTCAAAGGCTTGATTTCAACTTCACTACTTGGAACTCTTGGTACAATAGCTGTCTTGTAAGCATCAATTCTCTATCAATGAAATAATGATAGGAAACGCCTGGAAGTCTGGAATATCGTATCAACTGGGAGATGTATTCTCCAATGCAGGTGGCGGCCGAGTGGTCTAAGTAGATGATTTACTGTATCACTAGCCTATCAACACTGAAGTTGTCAGTTTGAATACTGAACGTGGCAGGTGCACTTGACTCCAATCCTGATTGACTAGGATTGTCAGTTTCTTACCAAAGGTCGGTGGCTCACTACGGGCACTCCTCTATATTATGGTCCATATTATTGTCCATTTATCGGCAATTTCTACATTTTTCCTTTGATCTTACTGCCTATTGTTTGTTAAGATTATGAACTGGAGTGATCCTCGAAAGTATTAGGCAATGACGTCACATATCAGTGAAGTAACTTCACTCACTAGTTCATGTGCATCCGTGACAATTTATCAATGAATTGAACGCGTAAAATTAGTTTTATATTCATATTCTCAACAAAAAAACAAAAAAAATTGCGAAAACAAATTGCCGATAAAAAGAATAATGGCATTTTATTTTTTGAGCGGGCTCGCTTGATATTCCTGCTGATAAAGTCAGTATTAAAAACAAAAATGTCAATATTCTATAAATAGCTGCTCTATATCTACGTCATTTGGTCTGAAGGTGTTAGAGGGCGGGTTGTCTCATTGAAAATTATATCAAATCTTCTTATTTTCATATTCCGCAGATGTTCGATACATTTTATTTTGAGGATGCTCATTTTAACAAGCATAATATTTGTGCTTTCCTGGATTTGTACGTATTTCCGAATTGATTAATCTCAACACATACAAAATTCAATGAGGCTAAAAGTAAATTTAACATTTATAAAAATATAGTGATAGAGAACTTATTCTAATACCGGGAATAAATTATATCCTGTAAAAAATAGTTATTTGAAACAGAGTAATGACAAAAAGTAAAATCACAAAAATACTGAACTCCGAGGAAAATTCAAAAAGGAAAGTCCCTAATCAAATGGCAAAAAGCTCAAACACATCAAACACATCAAACGAAAGGATAACAACTGTCATATTCCTGACTTGGCACAGGCATGTTCTTATGTATCAAATGGTGGATTCAACCTGGTTTTATAGCAGATTGTGATTTGTACTAACTTCGAAGTCCGGGGATCTTTTACTTTCAAACCGTTTTGTCTACATAGTTTTAGGGCCGCTGGTGCAGAAGCAGCTTGTAAATTTCGTTTTTCGGATAAACTGTAGATAAGGCATCAAAGATGTAATCCAAGACTATGAAAGACGGTTTAGTTTTAGACTTTTTTTTCCGACAGAATGTTGGTATCACTTAATTGAGGTCTCGAGACCTTTTTGAATAAATCGTTATCTTTTTATAAATACATTACCCTCTCTTTGGCTCAACAAAACAACGGCGTTATCTTGTGGCATTAATTGCACTTTTATTATGAGTGTGTATTATTTATACTGTTTTCCGAACGCCTTCCTCTTCATATATTTAATGAATACGTTGGGGTTTTTTTTTGGGGGGGGGGGGGGGGGGGGGGACGGGCATGAGAAAAATAGCATTTGAAGAGAATGTGCGTTTAAGACAGTACATACAGTATAACGTTGTTTACAAGAAAAAAGTTTATTAATTTGGTGCATTCGCTATCAATCAACAGAAAGAATAAAAAAGAGATTTGAAAGCAATCGCCAAATTAAGCAGTCATCTGTGCCTGACGTTTCTTAAGTTTCTTGATAATTTTTAAATTCATATCCGAAAACTTTAGGGAAAAGTATATCCTAAATCATGTTGATACCAAAGTTTTGACTACTGAGCTGATATTGCCGTCTGTGACTAACAGTCTTCTAGCCGCAGTATCGAGCCAATAATAAACAATTTAAAAGATTTGATGAATTGGTGCGTTTGAAGTTCTTTTCTGAAACGCTGAAAACAAAAGTTTTAGAGTTAAGGATGTTTGTTTTGTTCGAAATACTAAAGATGTTCTACCCCTGGAATAGATTACCTAAACTGTATTAGGCAAAACCTTTCGAAACTTCTGGTCCCTAATCCTCGTACTTGATTTGTTCTTTAACCAATTTTTTTTGAGCGGCACTGATTAATCTTTTGTAGACATAATGAGCTACTTGCGGACAAAATTAAAAGGCTGGTGGTATTTTAACATTGCGATATAAGCGGAGGGTTTGGCTATCCATAAAACCAGGTTCAAACCGCCATTTTTTTCTTAAAATGTCCTGTACCAAGTCAGGAATATGGCAGTTGTTATCAAAAAGCCTGTTTCTATGTATGTTGGCGTTTGTTTTTGTAGCAGTTCAGTGTTTCTGTTGTTCTGTTGTTTTCCTCTTATAGTTGATGTGTTTCCCTCGGTTTTAGTTTGTGACCCAAATTTGTTTAAGTTATATCGATTTATGACTTTTGAACAGCGTTATACTACTGTTGCCTTTGTTGAAGATATTTTTAAAACCATAATACATTAGCAGCTAAATGACCAAAAGGTCAGATATATTTGAAAATAATTGATACATGTATAGAGAAATAGTCATACAAACTTAAATAGAGAACAAACATTTTTGCTAATATAATTGTTGTATAATGTTGTATACAATAAAAAAAATTAACTAAAAACAAAACATAAGCAAAGCCTAAGCAAAAGCATACACACAATTGTCACAGATTTTAAGTTTTTATTTAATTACTATTATTTTAATACAACAAATACTTTGAAATATGTCTTCATCATGTTTATGTTTAAACCAAGACAATACAGATCAAACGTTTTACTGTTTACATACAGTATAAAAACGAAACGTATAATTGATATTAAAAATACACTTTCTTTCAACTTCTGTGATTATATTTTATGTAACTTTCATTGATAGATAGATGTAAATATATGTTCTACGTGTATGACAAAAAATAATAAATGTTTTAATTTCCCTTACAATTTTAATTAAAATGTCACACGGAATAATTCAGAGTATAACAATAGCGGATTATAATGTTGATAATCATGTATTCTCTGTTATTATTAGCTTTACATATGGAATTATAGTTGCCTTTGAGAACTTGACCCTTTGCAATTGTCAAAGTTAATTCATATTTTTGAATACTTTCGTCATTAGTCCGAATCATATTCGTCCACGTGATCACTTGCAGGGCAAGATTGTACTAAGTAAAAAAGTGATTACATGACGTTGATCATTGACTTGGAAAGACTTCACATATTTATGATAAACATAAAAAAAAACTGCATGTTTTGTTAAAGACTTAATATTTCCATATTTTAATTATGCAATATACCAAATGAAACAGTTGGTCTGGATATTACCTTGTGGTTGATAATATTAATGGTTTCGTCATAATAAAGTTGTTTGAAGGCTTAATATAATGTGCGATTGAGCATTACATACGATTTCTGTTCTTTTCACTTACTATTATATTTAAAAAAAATTCTGAATAAAATTTAGAATAAATTAATATTTAAAGTGCATTATGTAAATAAAGATTACCACTCTCTTCTTCGAAACACAGTTATAGAGGAAGCAAAAGAAAGACGTTTTAACCTGTCCTTTTTGGTCTAATGAAATCTTGGAGTCTGTTCATTTTTAGAAGAACAGTTTATTGCATGAATACATCGGCAATATCATACAAATCCATTTCCAGTAAATATACGAACTAAGATAAAAAAACAAAACAAAACCTAAGGAAATAAAATGAACCCTTAATGGAGCAGTTGATAGGGTAACCGTCAATTACTATGAAATCATCGGTCATGCGAATCCAAACTCGATGAAATTGACACGATAAGGAATGGGATACTTTTTAACATTTTTTATTCGAGTGTCACTGATGAGTCTTTTGTAGACGAAACGCGCGTCCTTCGCAAATACAAAACTTCAATCCTGTTATCTATAATGAGTTTATAATATACAACCAGTACCTTTACAGATAAAGCGGATTTTTTTTTATTATATGATTTAAGACTACGGAAACATACAGCTCGTGAGTTGAGAAACTGATGTGTCGTTTCAGTCAACCAAAAATATAAAACAAAACACCATACGACCATGGGATAACTGAAAACGTGTGTATTTGGTAGAGAGGACATCAAACATATATCTGACCATGAAGTTAGACAGGGTAGTACCTGTATGTTCATAAGGCTTTAAGATGAATTATTCTGTTGCTTATAAATTCAAATATTAGACCAAAAAGATTACACATTTAATACAAATGTGTGTTCAAAATTATCTACCAACGACAAATCCAGCTATTCATTATATCGGCTTCGGTGTATTTATTTGGGATGACCTCGGGTGCTCCGGCAGAGTCAACAGATCCTGCTCCTCATGTGGCACCCGTCGTAGAGTGTAGAAAAAAAATTACGAAGTTTAGATATTGTTGAGAAATTCCAAAGGCAAAAAATAGGCAGTATTGTGGTTTTCCTAAATTCTCCTCGTTCTTGAACGACGTAAGTGTACAAGAATTATTGCTTTAAATATGTTAAACACTAGGTTCTTTTGTAAGGACATCTGCATCCACCAGCAACCTCGACTGCGGAATATAATTTTACGAACTAACAACACTTTTGGTGGTTCATTCCAGTACTATGGCGAGCAAGACCATATTTATATAGGGACAATAAACAAAATCAATCGGGAGGATTTATTTTTATCCTTCAGGGTAACGATCATTTACACCCTGTTCTGATTAAAAATCTTGGATGCAATTGGTTAGACTAGGACAAGGCGGGTAAGGTTGTACCTTTGAAGTAATAAGATATTGTTTTCTATACAGACTTATGGTGGGAAATATTTCTAATATTAATAACATCCAAGCCCTTATTTATTCTACATTTTAAAATATAGTTACATATCTAGGAATCTAAGATAATGTTAAATAATTTGTTATATCAGCTGTGTAATTATGACATGATTAGTGCCACAATGCGGTTAAATGCAGGGAAAACAATGGCTATTGACAATTCAAGGATATAAAATAACACAATACTGATATCCATAACCAGTGTGTCAATGTCAAACTCGTAATATATGTTTTTTTTTACTTATTTACAAGTGATAAATTATCCATCAATGTGATCAACGTTTAGCATGGTTTATCAGCAAATACTTAAAAAAATACAGACAATTTGCCAATGCCATAACATATCTACTAGGTGTTGGTAACATGTAGACATGGATGCTGTGTCAGTATGGCATAATCAAGGACGCTATTTTAATACCAACTAATATGCCCCCCATGTCGTAGTGGCATAGCTGGAAATCGCCTCCTATCAAAACTGTCAGATAATTCTTTCCTTGTTTCTTTCTTTAAATTCAATCTGCAATTGAATAGACAAACACTATAATAACTACTGTATAACGGGTTGAACATCAAGGAACCCGCGTTTGCTTTTATTTTTGTTTTTTTTGTTATGTGTGAGTGTGTTTAATTCTTAGGGAAAAGGGCATTTGATTTATGAAAACTTGAAACGAAACAAAATTTAAAATAAAATCAGTAAAGACCCATTAAAACACCATCTGATACAAAAATTTAATAATACCCCCCGCCCCCCCACCCCCTCCCCCCCCCCCCTTATCGTTTTTTTGCATTTTGAACCTTTCCCAAGTCAGGAGCCTCTGGCCTTTGTTAGTCTTGTATGTTTTTTATATTTTGGTTCATTTATATGTTTCGAAATTTAGTGTGACGTCTATTTTCACAGAACTAGTACACGTTTTTGTTTAGGGGCTAGCTGAAGCCCGCCTCTGAGTGCGGGATTTTCTCGCTGGGTTGAAGACCCATTGCTGGCCTTGGTCTATTGTCTGCTCTTTAGTCGGGTTGTTGTCTCTTTGACACATTCCCCGTTTCCATTCTCAATTTTGTTCCTATTCTAATTTGTTTATAGATACAAAAACAAGTATTTGATAAAATCAATAAAGGTAAGTTCCATCAAAAAGACCTTGGTATCGACAAGGGGATACGTTTGCTTGTGACAAAAAAATCTATGGATACACATAAACTGTGTTTACATGTATCAACATTTAAGATACTATTATTTCACTGAACAACCAAATTGACGGAAATATATATGGTCAGATGACACAGTAACTTGACACAGAATCCATTTTGTTATAGTGAAAAGTATTAACCAAGAAGGCATTTACAGGTAAATGATCTTTGAAATAAAAAAGTCAATGTTGATTCAAAATATAAACAACCAACAGTACCAGTACTGTCTCCGTCAGTCTTGTTTTTCTAGTATAATATTCGTCATCATATATTCATCATATTCATTCAAATATAAACCTCCTGATTGCTAGTTCCCCATTCATGTACAATCCAGCCGGCCATGTTATTACTGATGACGTAAACATTGTCAATAAGGCTTCTCTGCGAAATGAGTTATCCAAATGCCCGAAATGTCGTAAGCATAAATCAATCGATTGGAAACACAACTTCACAATACGGATAGATTCAATTGCCAGGCAATGGGTTAAACGCAAGAAAGAAGACGTAGATACTCTTTCCGAATGGATTAAGACTGAGGTCGTTGATACAAATCAGAGTTAAAACAAAACGGAATGGGTCTACCCATGCTACATCAGTCTTGGAAGATCCCAATGTTGCAAAACACATGTCCTTACTCCATGATAAATGTGTTGTTGTCCCCGCAGATAAAGCCCAAAACAACATCGTTTTTGTGTGTGAATCACATAACCTGTTTGATAAATGAATTAGGTTTTGACAATTCACATGGAAAGTCAACAGATACCCCCACGACACTTATCAAGGAGGAAAGCCTGAATGTTATAGGTCTGTTCTGTGTTCCTTCAGAATTTCAACCAAAGATGAAGAACTGGATCTTCCATCACTGTATTGGATGCCCAAACTAAAAACGTGTCCTTTCAAACAACGTTATATTGCTGGGTGTTCAAAGTGCTCAACGAAACCTCTTTCTACATTATTAACATCAATTTTATCAGCAATTACAGCCGGGTTTCAAAGTTATTGTGAAACTACCTATTCTAGAGGTGGTGTGAATAAGATGTGGATACTAAAAAATTCTTTAAGAGTACATACAATATTAGTCTCTTTCATCTTGCAAATGTATTGAAACATTTGACTTTTCTACATTTTACACAAGTATTCACCATTCAACACTAAAATACAAATTGGAAGGGTTAGTCCTGCTTTGTTCCATAAAAAAATGACCAAAAGATACAAGTTTCTTGTCTTAGGGAGGGATGAATCGTACTTTGTAAAAAAACTCACCCAACGAAAGAATTCTCGGAAACAAACATTATCAAGATGCTTGATTTTTTGAATGACAACATATTTGTTACGTTTAGAGGACATATTTTTCAACAAACAATCGCATTCTCATGGGCACCAGCTGTGCTTTTCTTCTTGCCGAATTGTTCCTTTATTCATATGAGGCTGACTATATATAGGCACTTCTTAGGAAGAAAGAAAAGAAGTTTGCAGTATCGTTTAACTTTACTACTGCTATAAATATGATGTTCTCTCACTAAATAACTTAAAATTTGGTGAATATGTTGAACGCATCTTTCCCATCGAACGTGAGATAAAGGATACAACATATAAAGTTATGTCTGCTTGATATCTTGACTAACATAAAAAAAAATTGACAATGAGGGCTGGTTGAAACAAAACTTCACGACAAAAGAGATGATTTCAGCTTCCCATTTGTGAACTGTAAATTTTTAAGTAGCAACATTCCATCAGCGCCTGCATACGGAGTATAAATCTCCCAATTGATACGATATTCCAGGGCTTGAATTTCCTATCATGATTTCCTTGATAAAGGTTGCTGTCACGCAGAAGCTATTAAACCAAGAGTTTCTAGTGGTGAAGTTAAGGTCATCCTTTCGTAACTTTTACGGACTCCATCACGAGTTGGTTGACTGTTATGGAATATCCGTTTCACAGATGATAGTGGATATGTTTCAATTGTCGTAACTACAATCCTGCCCCCCTTTTCCTGAACTTGACGTACTAACATGAGCAACAAGACAGGTTCTTTATGTGGAGCAGGATCCTTCTTCCGGAGCACCTTAGACCACCCCAAGTTTTTGGTGGGGGTCGTGTTGCCCAGTCTTTAGTGTTCTATGTTGTGCTTTGTGTAATGCCTGTTGTTTTTTTTTTCTTTTTTAGCCATGGCGTTGTCATTTTATTTTTCACTTCTGACTTTGAAAGTCCCGTAAGTATCTTTCGCCTCTCTTTTATAAGTCCCTTAAAATAGACAACAGCAAAGTTAAAATTAAAAACGATTTAATTACAAACAAAAATTAAAGTGAACAGAAAACTAAGGCTTGAACAACACAAACCTTATAAAAACCCATATTAAAATCAGATGATCTTGAAGGATATGTAGTTTTTGTTCTACATGTTTCGCACGTCGTGTTGCGTAAGTAAGTGAAAATACTGTGATATAATTTGCAATCGGTATGTTGAACTCGCGGAATAATAGGACAGGATTCTAGTTACGACAAGTGAAATATGTATCCCATAATGGTCAACCAAATTGTAATTTCGTCAAAAAATCTTTCACCGTTTTAACACCACTAGAAACACTTACCCTCTATTTAGTAAATCTTTACAGTTTACACGTGTGTATTTAATAATTTTGGTTTGATAGAACAGTTTATGTTCATTGATGATAATTAAGTTGTTTATAGGTACCTGTTTAAGATCAGACAGGTAGCAAAAACTGCTCCAACGAGAGACATAATTGCAATAAAAGCTCCAACACTTCCGACTATTATTGGATCATTAGTATTGTAAACTGTAAAACAGAGTATGATCATTAATAAAAAATGCTTTTGAAATATCAATAATGTACATGGTGTGATTCAAGGATAATGTTTGTGTATGATTTTCACTTAATATCTTATCCTCGGAATATGGATTCAAATAAATTACTTTTGTTTCATTAAATATGTGGTTCAAATAAAATTTGATAACCCAATATCAACTTCGACCGCTGGTCAATGAATATCAGTTTTTCAAACTAAGAAAAACTGCGTATTCACCTCTCCAAAGGTAGCATTATATTTATTATTTCAATTTGAATTTATCTTGCAAATCAGAACGATTTGAATGTGTTAAGCTTCTTTTGCCAATAGTATTAGACAATTGTCTGTCATTTATTTTTGCGACATTGGTATCAAAATGTCTAAGACTGCACATATAGGTATCTAGTGAGTTAATACAAACATTAATCGTGTCGTAAGTAAGTGACATCATTTCGTGTGATGACCGTAACACTGATGTAGTGTCGATTTCGGTCATTCTTCCTCCCTCATCACACAGTTGAAGCAGTATTTGTGTTCGAAGAATACCCCTGCTATTGAAGTCCGTAAAGCATGAACATACACGAGCATAGCGTATCAGTTGAGATATGCCAACGCCACACGAGGGAACAGACGGTTTGGAACTGCTGACAAATGGAAATTTAACAATTAGAAAGTTGACATAATCACGTTTGTCCTAAATTCTAGTTTGAAATTGTCCATTTGTATCAGTATCGATGAACAGATGAAGATGTAAACGATCACTGGTTTTGACGTCTGTTTTTTTTTTTTCGTCATAACCGTTTTCACACACCACTTTATTCTTAGCCTTGTCTATGAAGTTTTGTTTTCAGAATGATCGCTACTCTGCTTTTGGTGTTTCATTTTAGTCACCATTTCTTAAACTTATACATCAAATGCACTTCTTACTTTTTTAAAACGCTTATAATATCTAAGTTGTCGTGAAGTTATAGATAAGAGGCAATATTAGCTTACCGATGGTCAAATCTCACAAAATGGTCAGGGGGATACAAATCAAATTTATTCGTCTACATGATAACCGTATGATTTTTTTTGTCAGTAGGCACAACACATAACCTTCCTTATGGATGTGCTCAAGACCAAATGTTATAAAGCCAAGCTAAACTAAAAAACACGAAACTAACATATAATAGATTGCGGGTGCAATGGTGTCATCAATTATTGAAGTTGCACATGTAAGCGAATCTCTTTTCGCGCGATAGTGAAAAGAGAAACGTCATATCGTTTTTAGAAACATCGATAATACAAATACTAAGGCGATAAATTAATAACTCGACAAATGGGATACTATTTTATAATACAGTTCGACTATTTTAAACAGTTGCGTGTTTTCTTATAATAATATATAAAAAAATGTGAATTAAAAAGATACGATATATAGTTCAATGAGGCAGAAACCCAAAGACCCACAGAAACCAAACAAATATCAAAAGGTAAACATATGGTCAATATCAATAGACAAGTTAGAATATGTAGATTATATCAAACTCTAAATCAACCAAGGCTTACGAAAAAATGCGACTATTTTGAAGATGGCTATCAAAGATCTTGGATAAACACACCTTTTAATAAAAAAAGGGGGAAACATAAATATAACGTAGACAACCATTGGGGAGTTTCCGAATGGTAGAGGCACTCGAACAGATAAACTTATTTTTAGCACCAATGAATTCTCAATCAGGTAAATACCTAAGATGCATAGAATGTTACAAATCAGTTAAAAAAATTTATTTGGGAATAATGCACACCAGTTCATACGTCAAACAAAACTAAATAACAGTGTACAAATGCATTTTCAAAGTTGCTGTATTCATGTTTAAATCACTTGACTTTCTAATAAAGAAATCATACCGCAATACACTCTAATATCGACGGCAGTATTTCAAAGGAAATGTTACACAGAATGATCAAGAGTGGTACAGGAAGAAATTATGTCCTGCTATGCAAAGGCCAGTATACTAAGAACCTTAGTCTTTTTTGAAGAAGGGATAGATTTGAAGGATTTCACTTAATTATGTAAAAAAAACAAAATAAAAAAAAAACAAAAACAAACCAAAAAAAACCCATCTATTTAGTGCGAGCGTAATAAAATCTTGTATAGGATTTTACCAATTCATCAATGTCTGCATAATGCAAACAAACCGATAAAGACAGAAATATAGAATTATATACCATAAATATGAACAAAATGAGATGTGGTATGAATGCGGAAGAGACAATTACCCACATACCATCACAAGGACAAGAGTGTAAACAACTTCAGGTAAACACGTGTTTAAAAAAAGAAATAAAAAAAAAAACATACCGTATAGTAAGCTATATAAGATACCGGGTTAATGAAATGTAATACCTTTAAAAACAGACCACTCTTGGTTTTCGTGGGTTTCGTGTTTGTAAGTCTTTAGTAATTTATGCAGTGTTTTGTAGAATGCTTTTTGTATTTTCGTCGTTTTTCGTTTTGCCATGATTTAGTCAGGCTCTCTTTGGGTGTTGTATCTCCTTCAGTATACTCCGTCTCTTCATTAATTACGTTGCAATGCACTGACGTTGAACAATTACAATGTTTGATGGGGGGTTTGCTTCTTCATCATTTGGCTTTTAACTTTCAGATTTGCGATTCATTCCTCGATTTTGACTTTTTTGGGGAGACCTGTTTTCAGTGATCCGTTTATAAATATCATATGTTTATCATTTTATATTTTTTTCATATTTCGGACTGACAGAATCTATAGATTTACTAATATCGGGCGTACGACTGCTGGAGAACTGTAAGTCCCTGAGGGTATCATCAAAATAATTCCTCATGCAAATTGTTGCCACAACTAAACCTATTCTATATGGTTAAGATAAAATTGATATACTTACGAGTAGCTATTGTGTCAGTTGTGCTCTCTTTTGTTGATGCTACTGGTGTGCTCTTTTTCGTTGATACCACTATATTGATCTCTTTCGTTGATGCCACTGTTGTGCTCTCTTTCTTTGATTCAACGGTTGTGCTCTCTTTCGTTGATGCGACTGTCGTGCTTTCTCTCGTTGGTACCACTGTCGTGATCTCTTTTTTGTTTGTGTCTGTTATGCTCTCTTTTGTTGATGCCACTGTCATGATCTCTTTTGTCGATACAAACGTTGTGCTTTCTGCTGTTTGTACCGCTGTTGTACCTTCTGTTGTTAACTCTCCTGTTATGATTTCAGTTGTTAACATATATGTGGTGTTTTCTGCTGTTTGTAACGCTGGTGTACCTTCTGTTGTTAACTCTCTTGTTATGATTTCTGTTGTTTTTTTGTCTGTTGTGCTTTCTGTTTCTCCTCCAATTGTTATCTTTGTGGATTGTGGCATTGTAGATTCCGTTGAGTCTAGAAATTTCATAATACAAATTAAAAGTAATCCTACGAGATAGTTTAGTACATTATCTTATTTTTGGGTTACAACATTAAAGGTTTATCTCATCACAGTATTATTAGGTTGACAAAAATAATTCCGCTTAGACCTATGATAATGCCCTTGAAGTGAGATGTAAGCTTGTGCACCATCTTGAAAGTTTAGGTGAAGTACAACAATAAAATATCTTAGCATGGCAAGAACATGAAATTAAACGCAAAATTATGTTAACGCGTACAATAGATCATAGAAATGGTTACACAAAACTTGCTTATTGTCCCCCTAAAGTGAATGCAGACTGTTACAAAAACGATCTACTATTAATAGATTGTTGATTGATTCCATTCAGTGGCAAATAATACAGAACAAATGAGCAATCAACATGATTGGCATGGTTCTGCAAAGAAGGTCGAACGGGATGGAGTGTGGGACATTTGAACTGCAACTGGAAAATGTATGTGTGTAGGAAAGGGTAAAATATAACAGGCTTACTTCTCATATGGTTGCTGCAAGGTTCACTACCATGCAGAGCGCGTGGTAATCACCCTACATTGTCCGTCAGATATGATGTCCCAACTCAGATCGGATGTGGCTGTGTAATAATGCATTTCCAAATTACGTTAGAATTTTAATACAGGACAGGAGAAGTCAAGGGATGACCATATTTATATATCACAGTGAAATTGCAATCAATCATCTCATCAAAGACCTTGTTAATTAAACTTTGAATTGCTGTCAAATCTCATTGATTTTTTATTGATAAAAACAAATATAAAATACTAAATAGATACACTTTTGCAGATTAACAAGGGTGAGTATATAATTTTTTTCTATAATAATTTTTAAATAACTTCTGTAAAGTAAGTGGACAAATAAAATAGCAAAATCTACAAGAATTATACATAAATTACATTTGCAATTACTAGTATGTTATTTATTAAATTGACGCAATTCACGATAACAACCTAACCTGTTTCGTGTTTATGTGATTGATCAATCGGAAAATTTTTGAAAGTGTCCATATGTCTGTTAACCCAAAATTAAATTTAAAACACGATAAACAATTTTTAAAACGATGAAAACCTTTTACGTTTCTTTAGAATTAAAGTATTTACTAGCCATTACATAAACAATTATTACTGTATGCTTATATATATATTTTATAAATCCACGGTTGAAATTCATCCAAAACTCAATCAAACGTTTGAAACACCATTTATAAAGAAATAACAGCCCTATACCTCAATGCTCTCAAATTTCCTTTTCGAGATATGATTTAGAATTCTTACTCCAAATTGTCTATAAATTTTCATGATTACACATGTGCATATTTGTCTTGTACCTTCTTAATAAAATAGAATAATGTTCAATAAGGTGCAGATATTGAAAATAAAATCATTTTGTTATGAATTTTACATTGCTTCTTCATTGTTTATCTTTAATTGGATAATATTACCTGCACAGTCGGTGAAGTTAATATCATATACTAAGGTTGCTGTGCCATTACATGTCGCAGATGCTCTCAAGTGTGTATTGTTGAGTAAATACAGCTTGAGATTCTCCAAATCACAGTCACAGCAATCCAGTGGGTTGTTGGCTAATCTTCTGTTGAGGAAAACATTGAAATTAAATCTTATTTGATTCGTCGGAGCATGCAATTTGGATACAAATTGTAAGTAAACTACTTTTTTTAAATTATATAAAAGAATATTTTTCAGTATACTTACTGATCATTAATAATCTGTCAAGATTGATAAACTGGATGAAAGCGAGTTGTAAATATTTCTTCTTTAGAGGCATTTTTGATCAGATTTCGATGATAAAAAATTGAAAGATCTTGTGGATATATTCGATCTTCTTCAGTTAGTGAAATTGAATAACAATTTTTTACTTCTTTTTACCGTAAGCAATTATTACAAAATTCTTAATTTATAACAAATAAAAGTTATCTACAATCGTTTCCACAAAAAAGTATGAATGTTTTTGAGAACTTACAAATTTGCTGAGTACAACTTTCCTACTACACGTTTTTTTTTTTTTTTTTATAAAGGCAACGCGGATGTTATTAGTGCAGCTGAAAATGCCAAGCATGTTTTAGATAAAAAAAATCATCCTGTTTTTTTGGGTGCTCGTTTTCTTCAATCTGTAGTTTTTTATATAGTGTTTAATAAGATTCTGTCGTCACTTCTATTTACTTAATTCCATAAATGGAGTTGTGCGACGTTGTTTCGACTTTGCGAGTCAGACGTTAACACAGGGATGGGCAAACTCATAGGTCGAAAGCAAAATTACAATGTCATAGCAAAAACTTTTTGTTGAAAAAGACTTTCTTTGAACGTAACAGATATGTTGTCAATCAAGTAACCAAGCATCTTCACTTCGGCCATTCTTTTTTATGAAACAAAGCAGGACCAATTCATTTAACTTGTCTTTTAGTTTTGGATCTGGAATATATTTGTAATGGGAAGAGTATTTAAATATTAAAATATTATTGCAAGGGGAGTGAGATTCAGATTATATCGGTTCTTATACATAATTGGCTTTCAAATATTCGGTTTTGAGCGTTTTGATGAAGGTAAACACAGAAAAACGATTCGTACGCATGCATTTTATTAAGTGTTGTTCTTATTGTTTACGGTATATGTAACAGATCATTGGATTTTCTAATATCCACATCTGATTCACACCGCACCTACAGCAAGTAATTTTACAATTTTTTCCTGACTCGGACTCTATATGATTTAATCTAAAGTTTGCAATACTGACGCCAATAATAGTCGATTGCTATGCATTTGTTATCTTTACCCTGGCAATCATTCAGATTTAATCATCTATGAATTTGAACTATTAATTCTAAATTGTTTAATGTACTTTTATCTCTGTTAATGATTTCCAATGATTTCTTTGTTAAACTGGTTCATCATAATGGTATGAACAAAAATCGAAATGTCTTTGTTCTGTGATGTGAAACATTTATCTGAACTAGAATGGACTTAAGGACTAAAAAATCACTTAAGAGATATAATCCTTCGGGTAATATAATTAATGTTAGATGTGATGTTTATGGCAGCAGCAACACAACACACACAAAAAAATCTGACGTGGTAATTTGCTTCTACATCAAATATTGCAACTAGTATACATACAGGGTGTTTAGAGCTGGTAGGTTTTGAAATGTTCCTTCCTGTATTGTAATTATTTGATTACTGCTCAAATCTCTGAAACAAAACATGGTAATGTAAATTGTATTCTACACCAAAGAAATGGTTCATTCTAATGCAATCATTTTGTATAAATGGTTCTGATTGGATAACAGCAAGCGTATAATTCTTTATCTACCTGTCTGTAGGTAAGAGAAAATGATATTTTGATTTCTGTACTGTATTGACATGTTGTTTCTTCAATATTAACCTTAGGAAAAAAAAACCATTTTACTTCAAAAGATATCCTTTGATCTAATTTTATTACATTTCGAGACATTCAAGAAGCCCTGAGTTTATGCCTTTTCAACAGCGGTATACTACTGTTGCCTTTATTTACATTGGACGCCAGAAGCATACATGTGACGTAACCTTGTTCAGTTGCCAAAGACGATAACATTATTTTGCGGAATTTTTGTTTTATGAAATTATACACCGAATTAATGACTGAAACGGAATGACATTATAATGGAAATAACAGTATTATATTTGAAGCTTGGCCTACATAAAACTTTGTTTTACTGTCGCAAATATATGTTTAGTACCAGTTCCGCTACGTGTCGCTAGATAAACTCATTTGCGACAGTAAAATCCGCGTTTTACGTAGGCCAAGCTTCAAATAGAATGCAGTTCTGTCTTAATTATTATTGATAGATAAAGATTTGTCAAAATTGATAAAGATCATATAAGAATATTGGTGTGACCATTACACCAGTCAATAAACAGCATTACTGTTAGGCATTAGTAGAAACTAATATTAAAAAAAGTCACACTGATATATTGTTATTTGTAAAATATATGTTCAATAACATATAAAAACGGCAAAAAGTATAATAGTCGATTGGTATGCACTTGTTATCATAAATAAAGGCAACAGTAGTTTTCAGGTGTTCAAAAGTCATAAGTCAATTTAAAGAAAACAAATCGGGGTTACAAACCAAAATCGAGGGAAACACGTCAATTATAAGAGGAAAACAAAGGAACCACAGGAACACCGAAATGCAACAAAAACAAACGCCAACAAACATATAAACAAACTCTTTGATAAGAACTGCCATATATCTGACTTGGTACAGGACATTTTAAGATCTAAGAGTACTCGCAATTACTGACAGCTAGTTAAAAGCCAATAGCAACTAATAAAAAAAAATCATGCATCTAAGAATAGTTAAGTTTTTTTTCTACCACTTGGTCGATGACACTTATGATGGAGGTTTCCCTCCTATTGTATCATCAGCTTAGTACCCAGCAATTCTGTGTTGACATGCACTATTGTTGATATGGTCATAATTATAAATTGACTGTTTACAAAACCTTTAATTTTTTTGGAAAAATTAATAATTTTCTACATAAGTAATATATTACCTTAGCTTTATTTGCATCCCTTTCGGAAAATCTGGTCGTCAGTGTACTTCAACTTCGTACATTATTAGGCCCTTTTAAACATTTTTAATTCGAGTGTCAAATGTGTTTTATTTAGACAAAACGCGCGTCTGGCGTACAAAACCCGTGTCTGTGATGTGTTTATATGCCATGTCATGTTTTGTTTTTGGTATGGTTTTGTGGTTTTGTCGACGATCTATGCATGCTATGGAAAATCTTAAATTTAGTAGCATGTGTCTTATTTTTGTTCCTACGGTTTGAAATTGGAAATTTGGTTTGGCATTTTCGCTTTTTAATACATGTTACATAGCTTAACCAACTGGGGAAACAGTCGTTACGGTTGAGGACGGCAGAACTCCATGTATCGTTATCATTGAAAATAGTAAACCAAGTCTGACACTACCTTTTTTTAGATTCAGTTTTCATTTTCCTCTTGATGAAATATTGTCAAAATGTATACATACAAAAGGTTAAGCACAGGAAGGTCTTGAAATGATCCTAGCTCTATTGTAGTTATTTGATTGGTGTATAAATTCCTGAAACAAATCAATGTTGATGTTTCATATATTTTACACTATGGAAATGTGAATAATTATCTAGTTAAACATGTTAAATATGAGCAACAGTAGTTAACAGATGATCAAACAAACTACATTGACAGATTGTTTTTCTATTCTAATTTGACGTGCATCTTTCGTTTTGTTGTTTACTATAAAGTCATCATAGATTTCAATTATGTGTGCTAGACGCGTTTTCTGTAAACAAAAGACTCATCGGTAAAGCTCGAAAATACAAAAAAGTGATAAAGGTCAATATATTATTATTGAAAAGGCAACAAACGTAAAATTTGCAACGACACCACGGTATTTAGTATCGTATGGCAAATGCATTTTCTATCCTTCTCAATTAATAATTATAACCTAGGTATCTCCTATTCATTGTCTACCTTGCATTTCAACACTCGTCTACTTATTAAAAACTAATGGAATGCAATCAAAAAGTAAAATAACAAAAATACTGAACTCTGAAGAAAATTCAAAACGGAAATTCCCTTATCAAATGGCAAAATCAAAAGCTCAAACACATCAAACAACTGTCATGAACCTGACTTGGTACAGGCATTTTCTTATGTAGAAAATGGTAAATTAAACCTCGTTTTACAGCTATCTAAATCTCTCAATTGTATGACAGTCGCATAAAATTCCATTATATTGACAACAAGATATGAACTTAATAAACGGACATAATAGGCAAAAATGTCAAAAATAGGGGTAAATGAGCGCTCAAAATACCAAACCTTATTTAACAATTAAAAGAGCAATAGCATTTAACCATGATTTCATTCCGCTAGATAAGCATAACGACAATTAATGTATTTACAGTCATTTTCTAGAACAAAATATGTAAAAATAATTAAAACCTAATTTTAACGTTGCCAAGCTTATATAACCTAAAGTATATCCCCAAACCGGACATGGAATAGAAGCTCTGCATGAGGTAGATGACATGTATTTTTGTAAGGTTCACTTTGCTCAGACTTAAGTTTTTTTAACCTGATATAAATGATGCGTTAATTTATTAACACTTGGTCGATGACACTACTGATGGAGGATTCCTTCTTGGGGGTATATTAAGCATAGTGGTCAGCACTTCTGTGCTGACATGCACTATTATTGCTATGGTCATAACTATAAGTTAACTGTTTACAAAACTGTTAGTTTTGCGACAAACTACGGATTTTCTACCAAAGGAATAGATTGCCTATGCTATATCTGGCATCCCTTTCGAAAGTTTTGGTCTTCATAATTCCTCAACTTCGTTCTTTATTTTGGCCTTTTTAACAGCCATAAAACCAGGTTATACCCACCATTTTTGTTTTAAAATTTCCTGTACCAAGTCAGGAATATGGCAGTTGTTATCAAATATTTCGTTTCTATGTATGTTGGCGTTTGGTTTTTTTGCACTTCAGTGTTTCTGTTGTTCCTCTGTTTTCCACTTATAGTTGATGTGTTTCCCTCGGTTTAAGTTTGAAACCCGGATTTGTTTTCTCTTAATCCATTTATGACTTTTGAACAGCGGTATATTACTGTTGCCTTTATTTGTTTTGAATATCACAAATGTGTTTTTAGACGGAACACGCATCTGGCGTACACATTTTTAATCCCGGTGAATGTGATGTAATTATTTACCATGTCATGAATACAAATCGTGTACAAATCCCTATCAATGCATGATTATAACTTTCGTTTCCCATATTCTTTATCATTGTAACATTCGTCTTCTTAAAAACTCCATATAACGTCAACATTGATAGTAAACCTAGTCTGCAGATGATTAAGTTTACGTATATATTTAACTTTTTTCATGATAAAATATAAAAACAATGTATACATACAGACGGTAAAGCGCTGGTAGGTCTTGAAACATTCCTTGTTGTATTATAGTTATTTGATTATTGTACAATAATCTGGAAAAAATAACGGTATTCTTTCATACATGAGCGGTGTCGGATAGAAATTGACATTAAGCAAGTGCACGTATAAATGTTCATGTATAACTTTGATCGTTTTTGGAACATCCAAATATGAAATACAAGATGAATTGTGATATGTTTTGTTTCTTATATTACATCAATACAAAACAGTTACAGACTATGCATAGATATTTTTTCAACCCGAAATTAGTTCACAAAGGTATTTATATTCAATTGCACAATGTCGATTTCTATCCAATGCATTCATAATTAACTCTAACATAATTATTCATTTGTTTTTGATAGATGAAGATTTTGATAAAATTTATATAGTTTATTGATATTGATATGACAATAACGCCAGTCAGTTTACAATTTGTAATATAGGCAACAACAGTTTACAGATGTTTAAACAGATGTTGAAAAGCAACAAACGTAAAATTGGCTACGACAACACATAATTTGGTAATACATTGCAAATGCTTTTTTTTCCTTATCAATAAATAATTATTACTCCGGAATTCCCTATGATGTGTCTAACTAGTGTTATAACACTCTTTTACTTATTTAAAACTAATAGAATGCAATCAAATTATCGCTATTAATACCAAAACTCGTAATAAACAATTAACAGAGCAATAGCATTAAATAATGATTTGACTTCGCCAGATAAGCCTTATTGCAATTAATTTATTTACATTCATTTTCCAGAACAAAATATGTGAAAATAATTAACACCCAATTTAAATGTTGCCAAGATGATATAACCAAAAGTATATTCCAAAACCGGACAATGATTAAGAGCTCTGCATGAGGTAGATAATCAAAATATTTTTGTATGGTTCATTTTGCTCAGACTTAATATATAAAAAGGAGAAGTAGTATGTTTGCCAATGAGACAACTCTTCACAAGAGACCAAATGACACAGATATTAATAACTATAGGTCATCGTAAGGCATTCAACAATGAGCAAAGCCCATACCGCATAGTCAGCTATAAAAGGCCTCGGATTGACAAATGTAAAACAATTCAAACGAAAAAACTAACGGCCTAATTCATGTACAAAATAATGAACGAAAAAACAAATATGTTACACAGCAACAAACGACAACCACTGAATTACAGGTTCCTGACTTGGGACAGCACATACAGAATGTGGCGGGGTTAAACATGTTAGCGGGCGCCTAACCCTCCTTCTAACCTGGGACAGTGGTGTAACAGTACAACATAAGTATAAACCATAAAAATCAGTTGAAAAAGGCTTAAAAACATAAACAGCAGTAGTTGTCCTTTTCTGGATTTGGACATTTCAATCTCTAAAGGAAAACTCCATACGAAAATTTACGACACAAGAGACGAATTTTCATTCCCTATTGTTAATTTTCCTTTTTTAGATGGCGATGTTCCTTTTGGCTCCATCATACGGTGTTTATATATCCCAACTCGTTCGTTATGCCCGTGTGTGTAGTGATGTCATAGATTTTAACGAACGTAATCAATGCATCACTGGTAAATTATTAAGTCAGGGATTTCGTTACCATAAATTACGGAAAACTTTTGCTAAGTTCTTTCATAGATACAAAGATTTGATTAGTAAATTTGGCTGTACTTGTAGAAAATTGATTAAAAACGGTATTTCACATCCTAAATTTTACGGTAATATTGTACTTAAAACGCGGAAATCACTATGTGATCTGTGTAAACTCATCGAACCTTTAAACAAACTTATTAGTAAAGGTTATCTTACCAATGTTGTAATTAGATCTTTGAATATAGTTTACATTGGCACTAATATCGATTTTGTCATCAGCAAATTAAAACATAACTAAATTTGTATTCTTTTCAAACGGGATGTATAAAGACACACCCACGATCGTTTTGATCTATAAAGGGGTTAAACTCCTAACTATCCTACTGTCTGTCAATACATTTATTTTTGGCATTGCACTAGTCATGTCTTCTTTGACTGTCCATGACGTTAAAATACTAAATCCCTGGGATGTGTTTTAGTTGATTTTAGTCTCTGATTCATGATTTTTTATTATTAATTGTTTTGGCTTTTAACTAGCTGTCAGTAACTGCGAGTACTCTCAAATCGTACTTTCTTGTTTATTTGACCTGTTGATACTAATTGTATTGCTTTTTTGTTATTTAATGTCATTCAGGGTTATATTTGGTCTATATACCAGCTTTGATAAGTGTTTGGTATTACTATAAATTTTCACTTCGTACAATGAACATCAAAATTATTAATTTTGTAAAAATATTTCCTTTCTCTATTGGAACTGTACACGTATACCTAACAACAAAACTATTTTCATTTACCTGTGTTTAAAGTAATTGCAAATGGCTGATATTTGTGTTCGAGCATATTGTTTTTCTTTAATTGTTTAACATTTCATACCGATATAACATGTTACTTTTATTATTCTTCCCTTGGTTTATTTATAATTTTGTATTTACATTGTATCATAGGTCAAATTTATTTGTTCAGTGTATGTTCAATGGTGTCAATATGTCCTTTGATTGAGTTAAGCTATTTCAGTTGATATTTTATAGTGTGTCTTTCTATGTTGTGATGTTACACTATTGTTTCAGAAAAAGGGTGAAGGTTTGGTACCATTAAAACGTTTAACCCCGCTGCATTTGTTTGCACCTGTCCTAAGTCAGGAATCTGATGTTCAGTAGTTGTCGTTTGTTGATGTGGTTCATAAGTGTTTCTCGTTTTCTCGTTTTGTATATAGATTAGACCGTTGGTTTTCCCGTTTGATTGGTTTTACACTAGTAATTTGGGGGCCCTTTATAGCTTACTGTTCGGTGTGAGCCAAGGCTCCGTGTTGAAGACCGTACTGTGACCTATAATGGTTTACTTTTATAAATTTTGATTTGGATGGAGAGTTGTCTCATTGGCACTCATACCACATCTTCTTATATCTATTAACCCATCAGATGGATACAAATAGAAATACATCCAACAGAAACACAAAATAGACGTGGCCGGATACTTGTACATCCCAACATAAAAAAGACACTAAGTACAGATCTGAGAGAACTCGCAATTACTGACAGCTAGTGCAAAGCCAATAACAACTAATAAAAAAATCATGCATCTTAGACTTGTTAGTATTTTTTGCTACCACTTGGTCGATGACACTTATGATGGAGGTTTTCCTCCTATTGTATCATAAGCTTAGTACTCAGCAATTCTGTGTTAACATGCACTATTGTTGATATGGTCATACTTTTAAATTGACTGTTTACAAAACCTTTAATTTTTTTTAAAAAAACAAATGATTTTCTACATAAGTAATAAATTACCTTAGCTTTATTTGCATCCCTTTCGGAAAATCTTGTCGTCAGTGTATTTCAACTTCGTACATTATTAGGCCCTTTTAACCATTTTTAATTCGAGTGTCAAATGTGTTTTATTTAGACAAAACGCGCGTCTGGCGTACAAAACCCGTGTCTGTGATGTGTTTATATGCCATGTCATGTTTTGTTTTTGGTATGGTTTTGTGGTTTTGTCGACGATCTATGCATGCTATGGAAAATCTTAAATTTAGTAGCATGTGTCTTATTTTTGTTCCTACGGTTTGAAATTCGAAATTTGGTTTGGCATTTTCGCTTATTAATACATGTTACATAGCTTAACCAACTGGGAAAACAGTCGTTACGGTTGAGGACGGCAGAACTCCATGTATCATTATCATTGAAAATAGTAAACCAAGTCTGACACTACTTTTTTTTAGATTCAGTTTTCATTTTCCTCTTGATGAAATATTGTCAAAATGTATACATACAAAAGGTTAAGCGCAGGAAGGTCTTGAAATGATCCAGGCTCTATTGTAGTTATTTGATTGGTCTGCAAATACCTGAAACAAAATAATGGTGATGTTACATATATTTTACATTAAGTAAATTGTTTATTATCATTGATATGTGAATAATTATCTAGCTAAATATGAACAACAGCAGTTTACCGATGTTCAAACAAGCTACATTGACTAATTGTCTCGTATCGTAATGTATGGGATAACTTAATAGTATTCATGAAAGCAAAATGTTTCGCAAATGATTGTTTTATCATTACGAATGAATGATTATTACGTCCGAATTCATCAGTCATTGTCTATCTTGCATTGTAACACCCGTCTACTTATTTAAACATAGTATAATGCACATGGATTTGTATCAACTGCCTTTTTTTAGTAGATATTGAAATAAGTCAAATGTATCGTTTTTTACTTGATTTAGTTGTACCCTTTGCCAAACACATGTTTTAAGTCCCTAGGAGTCTATATATTCTCAACACAGAGAGAGATCTTTGGTTGTTGCAACTGTAACAAGGCCGTTATCAAATCATAATGAAAGTGATACTTGAGATTCAAAATATGAAAAAAAGATTAATGATAAGCACATAGGATCACTAAAGATATATGTTTTTTATTTAAAGAGAGGCAAATAAACCCAAAGTGACATGGTAAAAAAAAAGAAAAATAGAAACAGACAAACAACAGTACACTAAACAACATAGAAAATCAAAGACTTGGCAACACGAACCCCACCAAAAACTGGGAATGGTCTCGGGTGTTCCGGAAGGGTCAGCAGATCATTCATAATCAGGGGCCCTTTATAGCTTGCTGTTCGGTGTGAGCCAAGGTTCTGTGTTGAAGGCCGTACTTTGACCTACAATTGTTTACTTTTTACACATAATGACTTGGATGGAGAGTTGTCTCATTAGCACTTGCATCTTATTTGTATATACGAGCAGATTTTTTTCTTTCTGGAATACATTAAAGTTATTAGAGGAAATGGTTTGACATATATTTAAATCCCAGCTTAGTTATATGTTGTTGTCTTTTACGACGCCAATTAGAAACAGAATTTGAAACCGAAATAATCAAAACGTTAATTGTTCTTTTGTTTGTATTTCTAAATTATTAACCTTTACTATTTAGTACATTTTTGGTAATACCCTTTTTACGTGGCTCGGTACTTATACATCCCGCCATTGTGTTATTGGACAATGATTAATTTTGTATTCTTGTCTTTTATTTTTGTTTTATGTGCCTTGTCTATTTGCCATTTTGTTTTTCTTTGTGGATATTTTTATTTATGTTTATAAGGATTAAGATTATAACGCTGTGTTGACTGCCGTACTATTTTTGACATTGTGTCTATGTGTCTGTTTGTTTTGTTCACAAATTGTTGTCAATATAATGGAGTTTTATACTGTCATACAAGTGAGAGGTTTAGCTAGCTATAAAACCAGGTTTAATGTACCATTTTCTACATAAAGTAAATGCCTATGCGAAGTCAAGAATAAAACAATTGTATTCCTTTCGTTGTGTTTGAACTTTTGATTTTCCCATTATGAACTTTCCGTTTTGAGTTTCCCTTGGAGTTCGGTATTTTTGTTATTTAACTTTTAACTGTTTATGTATTTTTTCGATTTTGAATGATGCTTTTTATATACTCCTGTCCATTACCTAATCTTTTTACCACATCAACTATGATAATCAAACCCTTTACAATACACACGGACAACAATTAAAAAATATAATCACATACGGTTGTTTTTTACCAGTCAAACAGACTCATAAAAAGTCTGCATTATTTGCTTTAAGTAATCTCTATAAAAGCGAATCAAAGAATTCTCGAAAGTACTTGAAGTAATCTTAAATTGAATAATTTACTAATATAGAACATTTGCCGTCCTTTACGTTTGCATCTGCCGTCATATTTTCGGGAGAAATGTATACACCAACGTCAAAACAGTGATGGCAGAGTGCATTACACAGTAAAATGGTATAAATCTTGAAATGCACAAATGTATAAAGAAACCATTCATATCATATTTGTAATTGTGAATCTGAGTGGTTTTTATCAACCAAATGTAACAGTAAATGATAACAATAAATAAAAGTAATGTATTATTTTACTTGATCACGTGCATTTCAAACCACACAAATGTTTTGAATGACAAGTTTTAATATTGTGACGAAATGTCGGTTCCCTGAAATGGAACTTGTTTCCCCTAAAATTGTGTGATGACGTCGTTTCAATCGTACCGATAAATGACCTTTGTTATTATATATTTCTGGTATAAGTGTGTTTAAACATTGTTAACTCTAAAACTTTTATTATCCTTGCCTTTGTTTTTGCATTGGAGCACATCTTAACTGTTTAACGTTTTACCAATGTTGGTAATAACCAGTTCCGGTTTCGGTAATTTAGGTATTTCCTAAATGGTAAACCAAATCAGTAAATTGGTTTACTGAAGTATAAATACGGCCGATAATTCAAATAAGTTTTCAGCACGTAAATCTCGCTAATTCAAGCGATTGTAATAGAAGTATAGATACCAGTTACCAGACCAAGTAGTAACAAGGGACGATATAATACAATGTCCGCGGACACTAGGTCCGTATGTTTAATGTTAATTTCTTTACGGGTTACACTTAGAAAATAACTTCGTAAGTTAAACTTTATAACGAATCATTTGGTATCGAGTTTTACCATTTGCCGATTTCGTAACTATGATTAGTAAACTTTCTGAGTATATTTTCCTGCTATCCATTTTCTTAAATTTGCAACAAAAAGGTTAATGAAATGTTTATTTATTAAATTGAACACTTTTAAGTTATTTGAATTATATATGTATTGTTGATATTTAATGCATATTAAAGTTATATCAGTTGATTGTATTTAACGAGTCTGTTATTCATTCGAACATCGATACGGAGAGTTACCATACAAAACCATATTTTTTTTACGGGCCGAAAACTAATGCCCATATCTACCCTTTATATTCAAGGTATTACCTTACCAGAAGAACCAACTGCACCGGGGTGTATACGGAATTCCAGAGTACCACGCAACCAAAGGAAGAGTTACTGGATGTAAACTTTATTCCCTATTTATGACTGATATTACAAAAAAAAAACATATTCTTATAGCATTAAACGAAGGCTCAACCTCTCGGTTTTCGTTACAGCTACCATACAAGGGTGTATACAGAATTCCAGAGTACCATGCCACCAAGGAAAGAGTGACTGGATGTAAACTTTATTCCCTATTTATGACTGATATTACTAAAACATATTCTTATAGCATTACACTAAGGCACGACCGCTCGGTTTTCGTTACAATGTGTTATAACTTATGGATAACATAACAAGATCGATTTGAAATTCGGGGTTATTATAATTCCCTCCTATATATATTTCTGGTAAAATACTTCTACAAATCTTATACCGACTAAGGATATCTATATTCCGGTTGTAAATATTTTATTTATAGAAATAGTGATGATATAGATAGGATATTTTTAATTTGATATGAAACTTTTTATAGAACTATCGTAGCCAATATTAATGTAAACCATTACATAAACTTTATGTGATTATTAGAATTTCATTGAAGTAGAATTATGTTAGTACAATATGTTAAGATGTGGTATTCCATAAAATTTTATCTCGCCAGAAAGTGATTTGTAGAAACGATGGCAATTGTTCATTTTAAAGAGAAACACACATTATACGTCAAGGGAATTAAGAATATTCATTACATGTAAGGGGATACAAGGTGTCCCTCTCCAGATGAAATATGGGGTCATGCAGTCTGAAATAAGATTTTTCAAATATATCATGTATAAGGAATTCTCTAAATAATGAAATCATTCCGAATATTTGTACTTACAGAGATTCTAAGTTGGTAAGATTTTTGAAAGTGTCTTTCCTGATAAATGTCAGATTGTTTGATCTCAAACTTCTGAAAAATGTGTACAACACTAAGTTATCATAACCGAAGTATTTATATACGCTTATCTTTATACATGAAAGTATACTACATATACACAATAACAATTAACAAAATAAATGTCAGATGCTAAGTATAATGGGCAAAAAGGAAAGTTCACTGTAAAAAACATTGTTTATATTTCGCTAAACAAATTAGTTCATCAGGCGCGTGCAGCCATCCAGGTAAAAAATCGGAGGCTGTAAAGAAATTTTTGCAGCTTAATGTACATGTCTTTAATATATTTTTGCAGCTTATTGTACATTGCGATTCTTAAATAAAAACAAATAATTGAGTTAGTTAGATAGTATGAAGTTCAGGATTTATTCCTTTGGTTTTGAATAAAACTGTTTTTTATCTCTCTCATTCAGTCCATCAGGTTCAAAAGTACGTAGCTGTTGCATCCAGAATATGTCTCTCTGTTTTCTATTTTGGGTGTCCCAATTTTAATTTAACTCTATTACTTGAAAGGTGATATTTTCAAAAGTATGTCTTGTGAAAGAATGAATGTACATAAAGCTGCAAAAATTTCTTTACAACCTCTGATTTTTTACCTGGATGGCTGCACGCGCCTGATGAAGGTAATTTGTTTACCGAAATATTTCGTGAATATATAAAATATAACAACTATTTTTATAACACTCATTAGTGTGTTAAATTTTCATTCTTAGGCATTTATATAATTTAATTTAGTAACTGCATCAGTTTATTTACAAACTGATCCACTCCTAGATAGATTGAATGTTGATTGTTGCTATTTTTAGACACTATATACATATATATATATATATATATATATATATATATATATATATATAATTCGTCTAAACAACAGCCCAACTATGTTTGATCTGTAAATTTGCGGAAGCAAATTTTTTGTTCTTCCCTGGCCAAGATTCAAACTCTAGCTACTGAGATATCGTGGCACCAAATCGCCTTGCACTATGCCCGACGCGCTAGACCAAGCGACCACCTAGGCTCTATAATTATAAAGCTTTCGGTGGCCGGGTGTTAACTTTCCTCGTCAGTTCTTATCCAGCGTCGTGAAACAGTACATGAAATATAAGGCATGGAGATGGAATGAAGATAAACAGATAAAACCTGACGAGGCGATTTGGTGCCACGATATCTCAGTAGTATGAGTTCGAATCCCGGCGAGGGAAGAACAAAAAATTTGCTTCCGCAAATTTACAGATCTAACATTATTGGGCTGTTGTTTAGACGAATTATATATACAGAATGTATTTTCAGCCTTGTATCACCATCACTGCTGGTGATCCGATGGATAAAATCTGTTGTAGAGTCGTCACTAGTTCAGACATACTTGTAATATAATTATTTATGTGACTGCATCTTACATTAATTTGTAAGATCCTCTACGATAGATAATTCAACTTACCTGTAATATTCCATCTCCATGTCTTTTATACCATGTACTGTGTTACGATGCTAGATAAAAACTGACGAGAAAAGGTAACACCCGGCCACCGAAAGCTTGATTTTTGACGAGCCTAGGTGGTCGAGTGGTTTAGCGCACCGGGCATAGTGCAAGGCGATTTGGTGCCACGATATCTCAGTAGCATGAGTTCGAATCCCGGCCAGGGAAGAACAAAAATTTGCGGAATACAAATCTAGCATTGTTGGGCTGTTATTTAGACGAATTATATATACAGAATGTGTTTTCAGCCTGGTATCACCATCACTGGTTATCCGATGGATACAATCTGTCGTAGAGTTGGCACTGGTTCAGACGTACTTATTATATACATGTATTTATACACAAGTCTAAATTGAAAACAACGTTCAAACCTATGATTGCGTTGGATAAAACCGCAATTTTTATACGTGTGCATGCAAAACAAATTTCTTGGTAGAGGGGTTTAAATACAACACAAACAACATTTTCCAAAAGACCAAAAACGTGAAAAAGTATATTTTAACAAAACGCATTTGACTAGCAGGTCGAACAACGGATGGTCTTAAACACTGCTGACTGCCATTGGCGATTGCCAAATAAACGGATCACCTGATGTAACAAAATGGATCTATATATATATGTTGTGTACAAGTTATAATTTGCAAAAAAAAATTGTACAAATTATAATTTGTACATAATAAGGCTTAATTTCAGTTATAACTCGTAGAATAATTTATAATATGGATATTGTGGTAAAAAAGTGTTGATACCCACTATAAAAACTTTTCAATGCTATTTTTAAAGTCATACTGATTCATTTATATTGCCTTGAGGTTATAAATTGAACTCCTGTTCACTGGTCTTTCACATGGTCATTTACAAAAGTAAAAGTTAAGGTGTTAAAAAAAATGGCTAGTATTTTTTATCATCAGGATAAATTCTATCAAGAAGTTCAGCAATTTACTGAGAATAACACATGTAAGCACAACCATCTATATACTAGGGACAAATTGAATGAGTTAATTTCTGAAGTTAAAAATGCAAAAGAGGCATTGAAGAAAAGTGACCAAGACAGACATTTGCTAGAGAAATATGATGTTGAAAAGCTCATCATTGTATTGTTTTATATGACAAATATAGAAGAGAGTCTGAAATCGAATGTTAACAAAAACCTATCCCAAATCCTGGAATTTTGATTGATTAATTGATTGTTGGTTGCTTAACGTCTAGTGGAAAATATTTCGTGCATGTTCATGACGATGTATCAAATTGATCATACTATGCATTATTGCATACAGAAGATTGCAGTCACTATGGCACATCAACCTAAAATCGTAACTCTATATGATCACAGTAAATAAGGGTGTACAAGTATTATTTAAAGAACTTTAGGTCACAAAACAGACGACCATATGAGCTTAACTATTTCACAGATTTTCTTATATTTATAATATTTGAACAAGCATATCGCTGTTAGGGCTCTTAACATAATTATTTTTATAACAAAATACCAGTTTAGATTTGTGCCATACTCAAAATGGTTTAATTCTTACTTTCAGATGACACCATACTTTACTACTTATCCATTGAGGATATGTATGATATTATAAAAACAGCACACGTTGGGGTCGGTCATGGATGTCTCCATAAAACTAACAAAGAACTCAAAAAAACATTTTGCTAACATTAGCCGGGAAGCAATACGCATATTTCATGTATTTACAACCAACTGTGAACAATGTATCTTGAAACGAAAACGTACTGACATATCAAAACTTGTTATTAAACCTATAATTTCTGCTGACTTCAACTGTAGAGGGCAGGTTGACCTTGTAGACCATCAATCTGTCCCCGACCATGAATTTAAATGGATAATGCACTATCAAGATCATCTTACCAAATTTAGCGTGCTTAGAGATCTGAAATCTAAGAGAGCTGCTGAAGTTGCTTGTGAATTACTTGATATTTTTCTTCTCTTTGGTGCACCCCATATCCTCAAAAGCGATAATTGGACGGAGTTCACTGCACATATAATCACTGAACTGAAATCGTTATGGTCAGAATTAGTAATAGTTCATTGGCGACCAAGACATCCCCAACGTCAAGGGTCTATAGAAAGAGCAAATGCAGACATTAAAGAAATGCTCATAAAAAATTGAGAATGGAAATGGGGAATGTGTCAAAGAGACAACAACCCGACCAAAGAGCAGACAACAGCCGAAGGCCACCAATGGGTCTTCAATGCAGCGAGAAACTCCCGCACCCGGAGGCGTCTTTCATAGCATGGATGAATGAAAATGACACACAACAGTGGTCTGAACGTTTGCACTTCGTGCAATTTCAGAAAAATAGATCATATAACAGAGTAATTGATCAATCGCCTTATCATACTCTGTTTGGTTTCGACCAAAGATAGGTTTATCTTCATCTTCTTTGCCCAAGGAACTTTTGCCAAATCTTAAATCCGAGGAAAATTTGGAAAAAGTGTTCAAAGAGGTTTTAGAGGAGAACAGTGAAATTGAGATTGATGGTACGGATGAAATCACAGATGCTGAATCGGTAAAATCAGAAAGAGAACCTAACGATTCTGTGACTGATAGTGAAACTGGGTCAACTAGTACAACTTTTGAAGTGAAGAGCATTGTATATTATTGTATAGTATTGAAAATAGAGTAATCCGTGTGTTTCATATTGATTCATAATTAAAATTGAAACTATTTTTATCATTTGATCTGAAACTTATTCTATGTAAAATATTGTACAAGTTATAAGTGAAATTAAGCCTTATTATGTACAAATTATAATGTGTACAGGCACGTTTTGTACAAATTATAATTTGTACAAAGTCAAAATACACAAACTATAATTTGTACAAAGTCAATATACAAATTATAATTTGTACAACATGATAACTTGTACACAACTTGGGTCGTCAATTTACCGAACGCTTTGATTACGTTCGCGATTATGAGCCTATCTAGTCTTTTCTTATAATAATTATTTTCAATAAAATTATTATTCTTTATATATAATTATATAACTTATTATCTTTCTAATGCAATTGAATAAACGCTTGCAACTTGTTTAATGTTGATCGGTTAATTTTGTTATCATCTGAAAACAGAATTTGACTCTACAGCAGATTTTAAAAAAATCGATTTAAATGTAAAAAAAAACATAAAACACTCGTCTACTTATTAAAACATAGTGGATTGCAAATGGATTTGTATCTACCGCCTTTTTTTTAGTAGATATTGAAATAAGTCAAATGTATCGTATTTTACTGGATTGATTGTACCTTTTGTCAAACACAATTATATTTTTCACAATATATTCTAGAAATATCCTTAAAACGTTTTTGTACTTCTAACACATGTTTGTTTTCATAATACAATCTGCAGTGTATACACATGGGTCGTCAAATTGCCGAACGCTTTGATTGTGCAAAGGGCGATGATGATTACGTTTGCGAGTATGGGCCTATCTAGTCTTTTCTTATAATAATTCAATAAAACTATTATTAAACTCTGTCAAACGAACAGGGTCACCAATAGTTATACTATTTGACGTTGGAACTCCAGAAAGTCGTTATTTTTTATTACAGTAAACATATTCTGCAACTGATTGACATTTAAATTTTGTTTTCATTTGCGTCTGATTAAAAGCTTTAATAATATATACATACAGATATTCAAGCGACGGTAGGTCTTGAAATGTTCCTTGCTGTATTGTTGTTAATTTATTTATTTGCAATGATCTGAAAAAAAATATCATATAGAAACCTACAGTATGAGCAACACAAACAACCTAAGCAGTTAATTAATGGTCAATATATATGCATTAGTTATTAGTGTCTGTAAACCGGTCATCATACTTATCTTGTCACAATAATTTAGTTATTATAAAATTCTTACAACGTACCATGTACACAAATGTCCTTTCTATATTTTCCACAATAAATAAACAGCTAATAATCACACTGCGTGTTAATTGAATATTTTGATATTTCACAATAAACTGAATTTGGCATATTGTTTTTAATTCTATGAAATACAATGAAATGAGATAAAGGTAGTCTTTTCGAAAAAAAAATGTTCACTCTGATTCGGGCACATTGGAACGCAAGTACAGAAATTAGAATATCACGGTTTCATATACGTAATTTTGGTCATGTTCAAACTGAAATATGTATATGCACAACACTGCTTAATTTCCGAAATCTAATACATCCCAAAACGATATACATGTACTCTATCATTCTTGAGATAAGAAGACACATTTGTGTTTTATCTTGAAAATGACTAAGTCATTTTGTTAAAGATACATGTATTTGCCGTGATAAGTATTCATACACACGATACGCAGTGATATTAAGGCACTTTACCGAGAAAAATACGTTAAAAAGCATATTCTTTTTAATCAACTTTAAATTAAGACTGCCAAAAAAATCTTCAAAGCAGCGGTAGTAGTGTGAATCATTAAAATCTAAATTTAATTTTTCAGTGTTTATTTATATCGAAAGTGAAAGTAGTCACGTGACCCGAGCAGCGACTAAAGGTCGTTCATTTCAATTTCAACTCAGAAGTCCAGCGTGTTGCTGGAATCTTTCAACAAAAATTAAAGTATCAATGAATTCGTCTGAATGTATATTTTCTTAAAATTGCTATCCAAAGATGACACTATACTGATAAAAGGTACAAACTGATGTAAATCTGATAGAAATAGTGACGTTTTTACGAATTACCCCGTGGACACCGATTATTTGTATTGAAATCAAGATGTATCTGTGTTTGGATAGCAATATTCTCTTAAAAGGGACATTTCTTATTTGAAATTGGTTAAAATCAAGTAAATCTGTCTTCAGGAACACACTGGACTTTTTAATATTCTTAATCGAGTTTTATTTTGTATCGTTGCAGGTCCATTATCAAACGCTTTGAAGACGTTGATTGAGAACACTTTGAACATATGCGGACAAATTCAATTTTCCGGAGACCAGAGAAGTGTAAATGCCGCGAAAACTTGAATCGATGGACTGTTTTGCGCCTTTATTGCAATGTGTTATTTGTATTTATTAATATCTTTTATATATTTTTTTTTATTTATTTAATTGATGTATGCAACTTTTGCTACTGCCAGAATTGAAAAAAAAAATATTTTACTGATCAGATTTTTTTTTTCAGTCAAGTCCAAGTACGCTTTTAGGGGTGCAATCTTTCAATGCTTTGTGAAATTTACTAGATCATGTTTTATAAAAGGTATCCAGTTGATAAATTTGAGAATAAAAATGCAGATGTACAAAATTTGTTGACCATCATTCTTCATCACCTACTTTCAAACTTTCCTACATGTGGCCCTTGCTACCTTCTGCCCCACCTTGTAGAGTTGAATATCATTTCCATCGATTTATTTTGAGGAGGACACCTTGAAATTTTCCACCAGCATATTTTGTTTAAATTTCAGTCTTTAAAATTGTATTGATCGACTTAATACCACAAAAATATTTATATTTGGCTTAGTTTTCCATCATTTGTTGAGAAACACCTACCTTATTCCAGTCATGCCTTCATATTTTCCTGAACATCAAGTTTACTAGCATCACCAGCATAAAGGTAATATACGTTCTGCATATTTCAAATGTAAAAAAATTTTCAGCAAACAATCCACTATTAAGTAAGTGTGGAATGCTTCATAAAAAGTCGAGGAATTAAAACAGGGGAAATGTTGTTGGGAAAAAAGGGGGAGTGTGTGTGTTCCAGAATCCTAGAATCCAAACATGATTTATGATTTTTTGGAAACATTTGTTGAGAAGTCTGCTGATCCAGCAAAACTCAAATCATGAATTCACTTCTGTGGTTGAAGAAATACAGAGTTATTACAAGATTGCCTGCTTTCTTTTCCAATAACTAATTCCAATTTGTAGATTGAGTAATTATTACAACAATAAGAAATGCAATTATAAAGTTTTCAGGTGTAAAAAAACAGAAAACCACTTCACACTTTATAGAAAAATCTTTGAGGTACACAATTGTTGATTCCTATTCAAAATTAGGAAGCTACAATCAAATTGATGTTTGGAGACTAAAAGATTTATCTGCATTAGACTGCAATGGTTTAAAATTCCTATTAGGGCTGTTCCAGAAAATACTATGTCCCCACCAGGAACAGCACTTTTTTAAACCCCGCCACCCACAGAAATAATGATAAATTAGAACAACACTTCCTTTGCATTTTTGGTTTTTCAAATACAACCAACCACATAATATAAAAAAAAATGCCTTCCCTGGGGGGTGACATAGTATTTTCTGGAACAGCCCTTAATGAAACATATGTAAAAGAATGAAAATATTATCTTGTCACAATTTTTTTTTTTATTTGAAGTCCGTCCAAAATAGGATACAATAGACACACACCTCCTTGCATTCTGCCAAGTGTGCAGTGTACAAGCTTTAGCTATTTTTTTTGTTGAGACAATATGTGGTTTTTCTCTATTTATCAACTATACACTTCTAACAACCCATGCAATCAAATCAGTTAGTAGGTATTACAGGGTTGTTTCAGTGGCACGCATTCCACACCTCCTTATTTTATACCAAAACAATATCAACAACAAATAAATAGTGGTTACACTGAAACATATATACAAGAGGAATGCAGATCCAACCCTCAAATGTCGCAATGAACTTCTAAAAGCTTCCTGCTCATAAAAAGAGGGTGCTGTAAATTTTCATCTTGTTTTGCAATTTGTATTTTGTATATAAAGGAGTTGAAGGTTTGTGGTGGGTTGGTTCGCCTTCAAGCTAGTTTAACCCCACCACATTCTGTGTGTGACTGTCCCAAGTCAGGAGCCTGTAATTCAGTGGTTGTCTTTTGTTGATGTATATCATATTTGTTTTGCATTCATTATTTGTCATTTCGGGGCCTTTTATAGCAGACTATGCACTGTGGGTTTCACTAATTTTTGAAGGCCATACAGTGACCTATAGTTGCTTATTTCTGTGTCATTTAGTCTCTTATGGAGAGTTGTTTCATTGGCATTTATACCATATCCAATTTTTATAAAGGCCTTACAACCTTTTTTTTTTATAACTTCAGACTGCAAGTCAAGGACCTTTAATCACTTAGGTCTCAAATTTTCTAAAGAAAACAAACAAAAACTGTTTTTCTCCATCATTTGCTTACAGACATTATAGCAATTGTGAAAAATTTGAACCTTCGATATACAATTTCTTATTAATATTTTTATATCATATTTTCACTGAAATTTTATTAATACCAAATTCATTTTATATTTCACTGAAATTGTAATATCAAATTTATTTCATATTTCGCTGAAATTGTATTATCAAATTTATAACACAAAGCTATAAAGCAATATACATGTACATCAAATGCAAACTTCGGATGATTTTAAACAATTCAGTTGTAGTGTTAGTTCTTGGTCCTTTTGTTATTTTTCTCTGTGGGCTGCAACACATAAATTGATCAACCAAGTACGCTCTGGTTTTGCGAAAGTCTGAAATAAGAAATACAAAATAATTGCAGAATTGAGTGTAGAACATAATCCTTGAAGCAATACACAAAATATAAAGTATAGCAGTCTAAACATAAAACTTTATAAACTGCAGCTGTGCTATTTGTGCAATCAAATTGCATTGATCTTATAATCATTTGTGATTAAGTCGCTGACCGTACATATATAGTGGACAAAAGTGAGTTCCCATTTAAAAACAAAAGTCCTATCATTTCAACTAAAATCAATATTTAGATAAATGAAGAATGTGTCCCCATGGACACATATGATGCCCCCGCTTGCATACAACATTATAAAGGGACATAACTCAAAAACAATAAAAGAGACGCTACCCAAATTTTTACTTAATCTGAGTTTTGTGGTAATAATTATTGTGTATAGGTTTCATAATGTTTGGTTGACACAAGCTCAAGTTAAAGAATGGAAACTAAAAATTTTGCATAACTCTAGAACGGTTAAAGTGACGCCAATAAAATTCAGACTTGATCTGTGTTTTGTGGTAACAAGCATTGTGTATGAGTTTCATAACATTTGGCTGAGGCAACTTACGTTAGAGAACGGAAACTAAAAAGTTTGCATTTGTTTTCCATTTATAAAGCGGCATAACTCGAGAATGGTTAAAGTGATCCAACCAAAATTCAAACTTGATCTTTATTTTGTGGTAATAAGCATTGTGTATAAGTTTCATAACATTTGGTTGAGGCAAACTTAAGTTAGAGAACGGAAACTAAAAATTTTGGAATTTTTCGATTTATAAAGTGACATAACTCGATAATGCTTAAAGTGACCCCACCAAAATTCAAACTTGATCTTAATTTTGTAGTAATAAGCGTTGTGTATAAGTTTCATAACATTTGGTTGAGGCAAACTTCAGTTAGAGAACGGAAACTAAAAATTTTGCAATTTTTTCGATTTATAAAGAGGCATAACTCTAGAACGGATAAAGTGATGTCACTAAAATTTAAACTTGATCTGTGTTTTGTGGTAATAAGCATTGTGTATAAGTTTCATAGCATTTGGTTGAGGCAAACTCAAGTTAGAGAACGGAAACCAATTTTGGGACGTACGGACAGATGGACGAGGGTATAAATTAATGCCCCCTCCGCTACATCAGGGGCATGAAAAATAATACCAAGTAACTTATGAGCGATTTCTATAAAATAAGTACCACAAGATGTAGAAATGACTGAAGTTTTATTTTTTCTTCGGCCAGGAGT